GATAGCTATATCTTGAGTTCCTCTCCCCACCCTGTTTTCTATGTAAAGACAAAATGGGCTCATGGATAAAAATCCATTTAACCCTTCTCCTGGGCTTCCTTTTCTTCAGCCGACCCCGTTGCCCAGGTCCACCAGGCCTTCTGCAAGAACCTGCTGGAGCGAGCGGTGGAGTCCTTGGTGAAGCCTCAGGCCAAGACAAAGGCCGGAGACCAGGAAGAAGAGAGCTGGTAATGTCCGCACGACGGCCCTGCCGTGGCTGTCTGTCCGGGAAGCTCCAGGGCAGCTGTGAGGCCCGAGCTCCTGGAGCAAACAGGCCCTCACGTCAGGCCTGTAGGAAATGGAATTCCTCCTTTGTATGTATTCCTCCAACTTGGCCGCTGCCCTTCGCTCCCAGGCTGAGTGTGTCACTTTCCCCTTTATTTTCCCCATCCCTCAGCGGCGGAGTCAGTTCTCAGAGCAGGTTGGGGATGTGGTTTCCTTCGGGTGGGGAGGGCTGCCCGGTTAGGGGAGAGGAATGGAATGCGGAGAGCTCTGCAGAGGCAGCCACCTCTGGCCGACATCTTGGGGACCCAGACCTTTACTGAAAGTTCTTAATGCTTTCATAGTTCATAAGCACCGTCTTTTCTTCGCGGGGTAGATCATTCTCGTACAAGGAAGGCCCAGGTCCTGACTGAAATGCCCCTGAGTGGGAAGGGGAGGGCATTTCTGCCCCAGAGATCAGAAAAGTTCTGGGAGGTGGTGCCATTTGAATTGGGCCTTGAGGGGAGGAGTCGGGTTTGGGGGCCAGGAAGGAAAGAGAAAGCCCGGCCCACCTGGCAGGCAGAGGGAAGCCGGTGTCAGTAACATGAGAAGAAGGAAGGCCTGTGGAGAGTGCGAGTGGCGTAGGCGCGGAGCTCAGGCTGTGCCTGGCATGGAGGAGAAGGGGCCGGAAACGGCCATTGGGTCTCAGAGCTGGAGGACTGACCAGCCAGGCTACTAGTGTGGTCCTTGTGTTCATTCTGATGGACATGGGACTCTTTCTTTTCATTCTAGTGAGTTCTCCAGTGCCCTCGAGTACCTGAAATTGCTTAATTCTTTTGTGGACTCTGTGGGGATCGTGACCCCGCCCTTCTCCTGCAGCTCCGTGCTCAAGTCCGCCCTTGGTAAGCATCTTGCAGGGTGGCTTCCCGGGCCCGGGTTGCTTAACCATCCCAGCCTCCCCAGGTAGTTGTGAGTACACCCTCGAATCTTTTGGATCTGAGGTTTGTATCTACAGCTCCCCCAAAGCCCTCCCCACAGTTACCCCTACTGGCAGCATTCTGGGGTCAGAAAATAATGATTCTCCTAGAAGTGGCATGTGAATATCTTCCCTGGGTCCTGGCTGGCAGGGCAGGTCAGCCACCTTCCCAAACACCCAGAACAGGACAGGCAGCAAGTGGTCCAGGGCCCAGAGGCTGGTGGGGACTCACCTTTCAGACACCTAGTCGCCCACCTCACCCCAGGCTGCCTTGGGTCTGACACTCTCTGATGAAGAGACCTTTCTGTACTGCTCCAGCTCCCCATGGCCTTGGGTGACACAGGGCAATCGCTGACTGAGTTGGCACCAGGACATTCTTTGTTTCTGTCTCTAAAATGCCAGCAGGATGATGGCACATCAGCTGCCACCTCCTGGGCTTCTGAGGCTGCTGGAAGGAAGGGGGTGTCATGCTCCCTTGTAGTCACTCTCCCTAGGGAAGGAAGGATCGCAGAAAACTGGCTGCCCTATGGCAACTGCTGACCTCATGGCCTGTCTTTATTTCAGAGTTTAGAACACGCTCTTAGGCCTTTTATTTTACATGTCTATTCCACTGGCATCTTGAAATCACTGGTATCATAAATTTGCATTTGAGAAAACTAAGCCTCAGAGGAAACGACTTAAAAGGTTCTAACTCAGTGGTTCTCAACCTCTGGCCCTTTAAATACAGTTCCTCATGTTGTGACCCCCAATCAAAATTATTTTTGTTGCTACTTCATAACTGTAATTTTGCTACTGTTATGAATCGTAAATATCTGATATGCAGGATGGTCTTAGGCGACCCCTGTGAAAGGGTCGTTCGACCGCCAAAGGGGTCGCGACCCATAGGTTGAGAACTGCTGTTCTAACATGTGCCCAGCCAGTGTTGCTCAGTGGTTGAGCATTGACCTATGAACCAGGAGGTCACAGTTCGATTCCCAGTCAGAGTACATGCCCGGGTTGGGGGCTTGATCCCCAGTAGGGGGGGATGTGCAGGCAACCAATCAACAATTTTCTCTTATCATTGATGTTTCTATCTCTCTCTCCCTCTCCTTTCCTCTCTGAAATTAATAAAAATATATATACTAGAGGCCCGGTGCACGAAAATTTGTGCACTGGCGGGGGGGGCAGGGTCCCTCAGCCCGGTGCACCCTCTCGCAGTCCAAGAGTCCTCGGGGGATGTCCGACTGACGGCTTAGGCCTGCTCCCCTCGGACATCCCTGTGGGAGTGCATTGATTACCAGGGGGCAGCTGTGGCCCTGCCCCCCATTGCCCCTCTGCCGTCATCGTCGCCGCACCCCTATCACCGTCCCCTCCCTCTGCCCACTGGCACCTGCCTTGGCTGACTTGGCGCCATCCACTCTCTGGCCCCGCCCCCCGCTGACCGGTCATTCCACCGTTCAGTCGATTTGCATATTAGGCTTTTATTATATAGGATTTTTTTTTTAAGTTTCTAACATGATCCTGTTCCTACAGGTACTTTGGAAACACCATTTGTCATGGCTGGCCATTCAGGTGTTTCCAGCTCTTTATTTACAAATAACGCTACGTCTTTGTTAAACTTTTTTTCTCAATTTCTTTGTGATAAATTGCCCAAATGGGATTATCAGGTTAATAGGAGTGAACATTTTTAAGACTCTTGATACATATTGCCAAAAGGTGCTGGTGATGCTTGCACCAGAATATGTAAGGGCAGCCCTGACTGGTGTGGCTCAGTTGGCTGAGCGTCATCCCATGCCTGGGTTGTGGGCTCGAGTCCCAGTAGGGGTGTGCAGGAAGTAGTTGATCAATGTTTCTATCCCTCTCTCTCCATCTCCCTCCCTCTCTCTCTAAAATCAATAAAAACATTTTAAAAAAAAGAAATGTGAGAGTGCAACAGAGGCCCCTGGCCCATCACCGGAAAGTAAAGATGGCATGTGCCAGCCCTGGCTGGTGTCGCTCAGTGGCTAGAGGTCAGCGGAGCACCAAGGGGTTTCAGGTTCAATTCCTGGTCAAGGGCAGGTATCTGGGTTGCAGGTTCGATTCCCCAGCCCCAGTCAGGGCACGAGTGGGAGGCAACCAATTGATGTGTCTCTCTTGCATCGATGTTTCTCTCTTTCTCCCTTCTACTCTCTAAAATTCAATGGGGAAAATATCCTTGGGTGAAAATTAACAACAACAAAAAGAATGGCACAGGGGCCTGCAAGTCCCCAGCATGGCCGGCAGTCGGCAGCGACACCTGGGCAGGTGCTGCGTTCCAAAAAAGCTATATAATTTATTTTTTTTTTGGAATAAAGAAACTTTAGACTATTCAGTTATTTTGAACCACAATGATAAATTTCTGTGATGTGTATATGGTGTGGGTGGGGGGCAGCTGAAATTTCTTAGACTTGACAGGCTTGGTAAATCTGATTGTAAATTTTAATTTACCATAGACCAAAAGAAAGAAAGAAAATTACGATAAAGTCATGAACAGAGAAAACAGGAAACAATGAAAAGTTTTTAAAATCAAGGTCTAGCTTCTAAGGATATGATGACTAGCTTTTCATTTGTTTCATTCGTGTATTAATAATGTCTTGGTTGTATAAAAAATATTTTTTGAGTCTGTAGGCTACTTATTTTGCTGTTGCCCAGATTGGTATTTAATATATGGATAAAAAGAGTCTGTACTTAAAAAAAGAAAGAAAGAAAGAATGGCACATGCCACGTGGGGATGAGGTGCCTCCAGCAAGCTGAGATTCACAGGTCTCTGTGGGTGATGGAGGGACGTTTGGTACCATCCTCCCTCAGGTCCAGACGTCGTCTGTCGTTGGTGGACTTCTGCCATCACTATGGCCATCGGCTGGCTCCAGGGAGACGACACGGCTGTCCGTGCTCATTTTACCGAAGTAGAGCGTGTCCCCAAGGCCCTGGAAGTGACCGAGTGAGTAAGCCTCTGTGACCACTTCTCCAGGCTCGCTTGTCTGGGTTAGCGGGAGGGAGTAGGTCTGGGTTGCCATCAGGGTGAAGGGTCAGGCAGTCTGGGGACCAAATGACAGATGGAGAGCTAGTGAGAGAGAGGACGAGGCTGCTTCTCTATCTGGAACCTTCTCCCTAGAAAGCCACTCAGCTTGCTCCCCCAGTTCACTCAGGTCTCTGCTCAAATATCACCTTCCCAGAGAGGCCGTCCTTGACCGCTCTTCATCCATGCCCTCTGCTCCCTCTGCGCGGCCTTCCTTCATGGCCCTTTAGGCACCCTCCATTGTGCTTACCGAGTTTATTTCCCATGTTTATTGTCCGGCTCCCTCACTAGAAGGGGAGTGCTGGAAGGAGGTGCTGTAGGTGGGCAGCCACCCTCGCTCAGCTGGCGCTCCAGATCTGGAGCTGGGGCCCTGGAATCTCTGTGGCAGCATTTGAGTCAACAGACCTACATGTCATGGCAGTTTGGGGTGCGGTGGTCACCTGTTCAGGCTCCCCCTCACGCTCCCTCCTTCCTCTCACCACCCAGGAGCCCCCTGGTGAAGGCCGTCCTCCACACCTGCAGAGCCATGCACGCCTCGCTCCCTGGGAAGGCAGACGTGCAGCAGAGTGCCCTCTGCCACTGTGAAAGGGCCAGCGGTCACCTGTGGAGCAGCCTCAATGTCAGTGGGGCCACCTGCGACCCCACCCTCAATCACGTGAGTGGGGGCTTACTGGCTCCTCTGGAGGTGCCCCACTGTGGTGCAGCTGGTCGAGAGCCAGAGGCTAGGCAAGCAGTGTCCTGCCCCAAAACAGCTTGTTGGCCCAGGTGGGCTCCCTGCTTAGTCCTGGGGGCAGGCATGCTCCACCTGTACCTTTCCTTCTGGCCAGGACTCTGCATTTGCTCCAGGCAGCTTGCACAGCCCCCACGTCCCTGCAGGCCAGCTTTGGAGTGGCCCCCACCCCTCACTTGCACACAGCACGCTGAGCGCACTGGCCGCATCCTCCTCACGGGCAGCTGTGGTGCATTGTAGTTGCATTGCATGTTCTGGTGGTACCCATGCAATGTTTCCACAGTGCATCACAGAGGCCTGTCCAGCCCTCGAGAGACTTCCCACCTGGCCTTGTTCGAGGACAGGGCCATCCCCGCAGGGCCATGGCGGGAGTGGGGAGGGAGGCGTGAACACAGCTGGACATGCAGCGTTGTGGGAGGAGCATGGTTTCACTCCAGAGAGGGAGGGACGAGGTATGTCCTGGAGGGTCAGACTCTGAGCCCTTCGTTGGAGTTTGGTCCGCGGCAAGCAGGCTGACACTTCTGGCTAGGGGTTGCCAGTGGTCCAGGACATTGGGTGAACCCAGGACAGATGCCAGCCCTACGGGACAGGCATTGTGCAGAATGGGCCCCAGACCAAAGGCCTGTGGGGGGCCACACCTCATTTGTGCCTTTCATCTGCTGGTCTTCAGGAGAGAACCAGTCTCTGCTGAGTTTGGGGAAGGAGAGAGGCTGCCAGCACCCTTGGGGCTATGTTTCTGGGTGGGAGAATGGGGCCCCGAAGAGGGAGACCCCATCCAGCCTCACAGCTCTCAGAATCAGTCCCAGGTGACTGCGCCGCCCATAGGTCCTCCCTGAGCTGACCCCTTAGAGGTGCCAGGTTTTGTTTGAGGGTGGCCTTCTCCTGGAGCTGCCGGGGGTTGGGCTGGGAAGGACTGGGAAGGACTGGTAAGTGCTGGGTGAGTCCATCCAGCAATAGACCCGTCACCCGTCTCCTCCCCTGTGACCCACCCCACAGGTGGTCCAGCTGCTGATCTCTGACCTGCTCCTGTCGCTGCGGACAGCACTCTGGCAGAAGCAGGCAGGAGCCAGCCAGGCCCTGGGTGAGACCTACCACGCGTCTGGTGCTGAGCTGGCTGGCTTCCAGCGGGACCTGGGCAGCCTGCGCAGGCTGGCACACAGTTTCTGCCCAGCCTACCGCAAGGTGAGACCCAGCTACCTGGTGGAGGAGGGCAGATTGGGGCCCCCAGGGCCCAGCACAGCACCAGCATGGGGTCAAGGAGTTGGTCCTTGGGGGTCACCCCGCTGCCTGTCAAACACTGGCTTGGGTGCCGAGGGTTGAGCACCTGCTGTGTGCCTGGCCCTGGAGTGTGGTGAGCAGGCCACACAGGCCACAGACAGGCTCAGGGGCAGGGCTCCCGGCCCCATCTGGAGTGGGAAAGACATGAGGGCCTCTTTGTGGTCCTCACAGCTGGCGACAGTGACAATCTCCTCAGAACTGCAGTTACCCCTTCTTCTGAGCCACTGGGCGCTTGGGTTCTGCTGCCTAAAACTCCGCGTAGCATCCGCTCGCGATGGCTCTGGGTTATAGGCCTGTGCTTCCTGGACTCACATCATTCCCTTGAATGTTTTACTTGTACTGCTGATTAGAGTAATGCCATCTGTGTAGTTTTGCCTGGATTATTTTCAAAAAGTTCAGGTGAGGAGGCCAGAGTATTAGTGAGGGGATGGGCTCTGAGTGAGGCCACCCTCACCCAAGGGTGCTGAGGGGCCTCACAAAGTTACACTGTGGCCACCGTGCAGCGAGCCAGGACACACAGCAGGCAAACGCAATCATCAGAGAGCTACCTTCTGGAAACAGTAAGTGTGCCCCAAGGTTCGGCGGCCCTCTGGCCTGCTCAGGGCACAGCTGGCCTGAGGCCCCCCTTACAGCACCATTGCCATCCTGCCCCAGCCACGCTGGGACCCTTCCGTGGCTCCCCACTGCCTCTGGGCGGCACCCGGGATCCCCACACACACTGAGATAGTGAGACACAAAAGAGTTTAAGAAATTAGAGACCTAGGCCTGGTCCTGTACCCCCAGCTCATGACTCATATTTATAGAAGAGTTGCAGACTTCCACCTGGGAACCTTCTGGATGCGAAACAGGACCCTGGACCTTCCTGGTTCCAGCCCAGCTGTACCCCTAGACCCCTCCTGTCCCTGCCTCACCTGTCCTATTTTCAAGCTGGAGGCAGCCTCCACGGATTTCAGGCTTCACCCAGTTATTTGTCTTCCAAGCCCAGAGGCTGCCTTGGTCACTGGTAGCCTTTGCCTCTCTCTCCCTCGTCTCGCTCTTGCCCTCGCCCGCTGGCCTGTGCTATGTCCCTTGTTCCTGCCACTCCTCCAGGTCTCTGGCTTGTATTGGGTCAGAGTGAGGACAACAGAGGTTGCTCTCAAGGGGTGAGCAGGGCAAGGTGGTGTGGAGAGACAGGGTGTCATCAGGTGGCAGATGACACGCTGCAGGGAAAGGCACCTGTACCTACTGGGGCACAGACTAGAGAGGACCGAGGCTTCACTGTCCCTGCCTCCCTAGGTGTTCCTGCATGAGGCCACCGTGCGTCTGATGGCAGGAGCCAGCCCCACCCGCACCCACCAGCTGCTGGAGCACAGCCTGCGGCGACGCACTGCGCAGGGCACGAAGCACGGTGAGTCCAGCGCCCCAGCCCCAGCCGGGAGGCCTGGTGTGGGCCCTGCCTGAGCAGGGAGGCGCCCGCTCAGCACTGACCTCAGCAGTGTCCTCAGGGGTGGTGTGCAGAGGAGAGGAGCCCAAAGCCTGACTTGGTGGGGTTGCCTGGGAGGGTTTCTGAAGGCACGTGGGGGTCCGGTGGCTGTGGGTCCAGCCTCAGGAGTGGGGAGGGGGGCTGGGATGTCCCAGTGCAGGAGCCGGAGTGGCAGCATGGGCCCTGGAGCCAGATTCACGGCTCCTTCTCGGTGCCAATGATAATAGCCGAGTGATGCCGGCCAAGTTCATCTCATCTCGCCTGTAAACTAGGACCTAGGCCAGCCGTGGGCAAACTACGGCCCGCGGGCCGGATCCGGCCCGTTTGAAATGAATAAAACTAAAAAAAAAAAAGACCGTACCCTTTTATGTAATGATGTTTACTTTGAATTTATATTAGTTCACACAAACACTCCATCCATGCTTTTGTTCCGGCCCTCCGGTCCAGTTTAAGAACCCATTGTGGCCCTCGAGTCAAAAAGTTTGCCCACCCCTGACCTAGGCGGTGTGAGGATGAGGAAATGAGTCCGCATCAGGCACCTGCATCTTAGTGGGCTCTCAGCGAGCAGCTCCAACATCTGTCCCTCGTTTTCACAGGAGAGGTGGACGCCTGGCCCGGCCAGCGAGAGCGAGCCACTGCCATCCTGCTGGCCTGCCGCCACCTTCCCCTCTCCTTCCTCTCCTCCCCGGGCCAGCGGGCAGTGCTGCTGGCTGAGGCCGCCCGCACCCTGGAGAAGGTGGGTGACCGGCGCTCCTCCAACGACTGCCAGCAGATGATTGTCAAGCTGGGGGGTGGCACCGCCATCGCCGCCTCCTGACCACTGGGCCCTGCCCACCTTGGCCCACTGCCTCTGTCTCTCAGTCTCCCTCTCTCTCCTCTATCTCTCAGTCTCTCCTTCCTCTCTCTCTCTCTCTCAGTCTCTCCCTCCTCTTTCTCTCTCTCCTCTCTCAATCTCTCCCTCCTCTCTCCCTCCTCTCTCTCTTTCTCTCTCTCTCTCTCCCTCTCCCTCCTCTATCTCAGTCTCTCTCTCCCTCCTCCCTTTGGGGGCCGGGGGATGAGCCTTGTCTTCTGAGGTGTCACCTGCCAAGGCTGTGGGACCACCTCAGGCCAGTGGACCCCTAAGCAAAGCCCCGTATAGCTGATGTGGGTAGATGCTGATGGTCCAGGGCCCAGTGGCCCTGAGTGGAAGGACGGCAGGAAGTGGGGGGACCCTGACTTGAAAGCAGCAGGAGGAGCTCCAGGCGGCCCAGCCGGTCTGCAGCCCTCCCAGGATTCTTTCTCCGTCTCTCCCCCTCCCTGCTTCCTTGTTTTTATCAGGCTTTCCCTCTGGGGGACACGGGTGTCTGGGCACCAGAGCACTTCACCCTTGGCACGGTGCCCAGCACGCACTCTCCCCTTTTTTATACGAATGTTTTTATATCAGTGTGCTTGGGTTTGCCGTGATTCAGGACTAAGTTGCTGTGGCATCTTTATTTCTCTCCCTGGGTCTGCGTTCCCTCCCCTGTGCCTGACAAAGCCAGTTCATTGTTTTCTCTTTATTACACAGGACAGCCAGGGAGGAGGGGAGCCCAGCCCTGGGGAGGCGGTAGGGAGGCAGGGGGCAAGCCTGGGGATGGATGAAATAATGTCGGCATTATTTTTTAATTTTTTAAAAAATAAATGGTATCTTATTTAATTGTCCTGTTCCTTCCCATTCCCCCACCCCCTGGGATTTCAGCCCAAGCTCAGGGTAGGCCCAGGGACTGGGAGAGATGAAGCCACCACTGGGACTGGGGACAGGTCTTCAGCGTGGGTTCTCAGCTCCCTCCCACCCAACTCCTACTTCCATGGTCTGTTTTTATCCCTAATTCCTCACCTGAAAATAAGCCAGAGTGGTAGGGACCAGCCCTCAATGACAAGCCCCTTTTTGGGATGGGCACCAGGAATGAGGCCCCTGCCTTGATGGGGGTCCTGGGAGGAAAAGTGGTCCCACTTTTCTGGATCCCTGGCTTGGTGCCTTCTCTGAGGTGGTTTCTCCGGGGCCTGAGGACTGCTTGGCACCCCAGAGCCTGCTGGGACGCTGAGAGAAGCTGTCCTGCCTCCCTCCCTGTGCTTCCCATCCCCTCAGGTTGGTTGGGGCAGAGAGAGGACAGGGGCCCGGCACAGGTTGGCGCATGCACACAGCGGGGGCCACCCTGACATAAGTACGGGTCAGCCTGGACCTTGCCCACTTCCTTTCTCTTTCCCCCCTCCCCTCCCACTGTCATGTATGGCCCTTGTGTCACGTGTATATACTGTGCCTTTTCTCATTGTTTAGGGGTGGGAGGGCGTGGTTTTTCACTGAAAGGGGGATACACCGATGGCAGCCTTGATGTGGAATCATTCACCATGTCCTGGATGCAGGTTATTCAATAAACACCGATTGGTACCACCCAGTGTGAGGTGTGTGAGGGTCTGTAGTGTGACCGCTGTGGTGACTAGCCAGCTGGCTGCATGGCTTGGCCTCCAGTGGGCCAGGAACTGAGGACGCCCCTCCCTTTGTGCTGAGAGCTTCCTTCCCCCACCCATGCACCCGGCCCTCCTTCCACACCGGCTGCCTGGCACGCACTCCACGGCTGGGACAGGGCCTGCTCATTGCATCCAGGACAGAGCTGGCTGGTTGGCTGACAGCAGCAGTTCTTGGGGATTTGGGGTGCTAGGCCCTGTGTTCACCCCTCTCACATCTCTCCCTTACTGGGTGGCTACCCCTCAGTTTCCCATCCTCCCTAGGGGCAGTGAGACTGAGGAGACTCACGGGCCCACAAGTCACATCCAAGTCCAGCTCCTCTAATTCCCAGCTGGGTCACCTTGGGTGGCCTCAGCCTCCACTTGCATGCCTGCAGAATGGATGACATCCCTGCCTTTGGCTACAGTCCCCATAGGTTTGTTAGCTGGTTTATAGGTGCCTTGTGAGGCTGATGAGGGGCCAGACCACAAGGAGTGGTGGGGGCAGGAGAGCTGAGCCCATTGGAGATGGAGTGCTGTGGCCTAAAGTTCATGGTCACCCAGCCTGGCTGAGAAATGGGCCCAGGCCCCTCAGCTCTCTCAGCCACTGTCTTCTCTGAAGCAGTCACAGCAGGCCACACTGTCCCAAGGGGAGGAGGGGCCCAACTGCAGCTGGTCCTTGCCCACAGTTCTCAAAGCAGCATTCCCACTGGTGGTCATGCCCATGGCCACACCCTGGCCCCTGGGATGGAGGTCCAGGGTCCTTGGGACCTTGAAGGAGCAGAGAGGTAGAAGCCATCTCCCCCAGCACAGCACAGCCAGGGCCTGTCCCCAGGTGGGTGATTGTGGGTGGCCGATGCGCCCAGGAACCTGATCCTTTTTTGTGGTTCTGGGCTGGCTACGTGACTCAGTACCCACCCACCTCCCCTGGCTCCACACAGCTCAGGAGAGGCCCTGGAGCACCCCATCCCCACTCTGGGTTGAGGGTGTGAAGCTGTCTCCCCCACAAACCATCGGGGCCCTCACAGCAAGCAGGACATGGGCTCCAGGCTCTGCTCTTGGGGCTTCTGGGCCTTGGTTTCCTCAACAGCCTTTAGACTGAGGTGGACCAGCCTGCAGGTGAAGAGCTGCTGGGTTTGGCGCCTCAGGGCAGCCCAGCCAGTGGGAGGAAGGTCTGAGACTGCCTGCACCCTGGGGCCCCTCTCTACCAACACACGTGCTCATAGCCTCCCCTCCTCCGACTGCCCACCGCCTGCCATGCCACCATCGGGTCACAGTGGCAGAGAATATGGAGGAGCCAGAAACAAGTCAGCTGGGGGACCTTGGCAAGCTACTTAGGTCTCAAAACCTGTTTTCCTTATTGTAAAGCCATACACCCACGGAGCTTCTCTGAGACCTAAATGAAAGAAACGGCAACAAACGGGGGCCATTTTTATTAAAACAGTATCCCATGCCTAGGGTACACAGAGGGCAAAGGCCCAACTGGGTGGCTTTGTTGAGGTCACACAAGGGGCACGGCCCAACCCTCAGCCTCCCCAATAGTACCTGTCACAGAAAGTCGATGCGCACAGGCTGCTGGCACTGCCCTGGGCCACAGCCAGGTGCCTGGAGCCTGCCTGGCAGGAAAGGGGAGAGCTGGCAGTGCCAAGCATGTGTGGTGTGAGCACCCCTGTGGGGGCACTGCCAGGGCTCAGGGTCCAGCATCACCATCCCCTTTCCTTCCAGAGCAGCTACTGGGCGGAGGCTCTGCCACCCTGAGCACCAGCTGTCCACCGGGCCCACTGCCCACACCCATTAGGGGGGTGGCTCTGGGCCAAGCTGACCAAGTGGCCTGCAAGCCAGGGGCCGGCCCAACGCCAGACAATGTCAATGAAGATCAGCCTGGCTCGGCCAACTCAAGCTGTAGAGTGGGTGGTCGCTGGAGGGGGTGCTCACCTTCAGTCAGGGGCATGGACCCTCCAGCCCTCACCTGTGCGGGAGCCTCAAGATGACTGACTCTCCCCTGGGTCCACTGGTGTGGACATTCAGCCCTTACCACCCCCTCCAGCCACTTCTCCCGGCTCCTAGAACCCCCCTCCCCCATAGCTCTGGGGAACAGTCCTCTGCTCTTGCATATGCTGTGCCCTCTGCCCGCACTGCCGTCTGTGCAGTCAGTGACCAGTACCTGCCATCAGCCCCTCTCAGAGCCAAGCTGGGGCTCCTTTATTCTCAGGGATGGGAACCACAGAAAAGGGTTTATTTACATGCGGAACTCGCGCCCTAGGACCCCCTGGACAGGCCCTTTCTTAGCCGCACAGGCTCCAGGGCCCCCAGTCCAGCCTGGGCAGGCGGAAGGGCTAGACTTAGGTGGAGGGCGCCCCTAGCCCCCGTGACCCCTTCCTCCCACCCCCCGACCAGGCTGATGGCGGATCCTTGGTAGAGGGAATGCTTCGAAGAACCAGCAGCCCCGTCTTCATACGGTGACCTCTGCTTTGCTGTTGGTGCTCAGGTGTCCACGAACCGCGCAACTGTAGAGGCCAGGGGGCTGCGGGCGGAAGGCCTTGGGCAGCTTCTCCACGCGCCGGGGGTGGCC